TTTTTTTCTTTTTTTTTTTTTTTTTTTTTTTTTTCTTTTTTTTTTAAATATAACGAAAATGATATTCAATACTTTCTGGCTTCATTGTCAATTCTATTGTAATAATTTATAGAAGAGCAGTTCCTGGATAATTTTTTAAAATTTGTTAGTCATATATTATAGAGCAGAAGCCAAAATAGCAAATTACATTTGGCAAAGAGCCAATCAACGGGCAAATGGATTTTCCATTTTAAAAGTAGAAGCATAGAAACATTAACAGCTTTAACTGAATTATTGTGTAAATTTGAAATCAATTTCTAGCATTGAAAGAAAGCGTTTCTTTATTATACTAGTACTATCGAATTAGGAAGTGTTTTTCTTCCTTAGTACGAATCGCACTATTCATCGCGTATCATTGACAAATAATGATTTACTGTGAGAATCAGATGGAAATATGAAATGCTACCCTAATATTATATTATTAATATTATATGCTACAATGATTATATATACATATATTTATATTTTAACAATTAAAGGATTATATTGTACGTATGCATTATTAATAATTTCCATCTCATTTGTAATTAGCAAATTTTTGTAGTTTCTTCGTTTCTATGCGGGAAGGAATAGGGGAAAATTTTTTAAATAGAATTGAAATCTCAATTGTTTGAAGTTGGTAGATATGCAATTTTGCTATTTGCCATAAAAGAGCACGATACATTGTCGAAAAAGAAAAACGATAAAAAAATATGTCTGTATATCGTTTCAATTACTTTGTCCTACATTATGTTCTATATTTTATTTGCAAGGTAATCTAAGTTCATTATACGCCGGTAAGATATCGTCCTTCACGAGCCAAACATGGTCCAAAACTGCACCTCCCTTGTCATCGGATACCTTTTAGTGACATATTGTAAAATGAATAATAAGAAACATTCCTTGCATCGGATTTTTTCCATAATGCATAATACCTGTTCAAGATAAAGATGAGTCTGGTTGTATGCCTTCATCCTAGTGTATCCGTAATCCGAGTTGCGATATGCAGACCATTCTGGTCTGTGTGGAACAAACTTTTCTCGACCTTCTTTACATCCTGCTGATCCAGTTACTACATGTACAGGTGCTCCGTAGTTTTTGTATGGATTTTCATAACTACCATTTTGTACCTAAAATTATATTATTTTTTTTACTTTAAACAAATTTAAAACAGTACCTTCCCATGATGATAGATTACCTTGAAATTGTACATGGGCCATAAACGTTCATAACTATGTTCATGAGCCCATAGTAATAAATCTACTTTGTACTTGTAAAAAAGATTTTCAAGACCAAACCAATTTAAAACTGGCAGGCCAACTCTAACTAGATCTGCATGACTGGTACAATCATCGAGATTTGCATTACTACAATACATTGGTCTATGACCAAATGTAACAATCCATGGTCTTTGTGCCCTTTATAAAATTATTATTAATTTTTGTAATATCCTGGTAGGAAAATATGCAGACCTACCTATTTTCGGGCATGTTTGCTTCTATTAAATCTTTTTCCAACCACTGATATTGCTTAACTACTTGTTTTATACCATAATTCATAAAGTAGTAAGCTTCAGTTTCTATTGCTATGAAATGGATAGGTCCTATGTTAAAACTATACCATAAACCTTCAGAATCTCCAGGCATTGTGAAACGAGATCTAGTATTGAATTTACATTGATAATGGAGAAATTATAAATGAATTAATGAATAATTTTAAATTTGACCTATAATTCTGACCTGTAATTACTAAAGTTATATTTCTCTTCATGATTACCAGCTACTGTCATATATGGTAAATAAGCAGCAACTCCTTCAATTTGTTTCATAAATTCATCACCAACACGTGCATTATCAGTGTTCATGTCATATGCAAAATCTCCGATATGAATTGCTACATCATATAATCCACGTTGTGCTTCTTCTTGTAATCTTGATAAACTTTGAGCATTTTCATTACCCATATCACCAAAGACAACAATCCGAGGTGACCATTCTGTTGATTCATCAGGAACAGTTTTTAGATGAAACACATTGGACCACCCGTATTTGCTACCACAGTGGTAAACTATTCAAAAAATGTATGTATGTATATAGTTTATATAGAATCTGATAAATAAGTAGGAAGTTGTTTCACTTACTGTATTTAGTACTAGGTGTTAAATTTCTTAACCATACTCTATGAATATACTGCTTTTGTTTCTCATTTCCACCGTCAACAAAAAGTGTAGAATTTCCTGTAGCTGTAAAAATTAGTTCCTCTATCCCATATTCCACAATTGATTCTTGAGTATCGTTTCTTGTAGTCCATGTGACAACAATGTCATGAATATTATCTAAAAATTATAAAACATGTTTTTTTAATGATTGTTAATGATCTATTAAAAAAGGCTTTTAAATAAGTAATACATTCAAAAGATAAATAGTTTGAAACACATGTTACCTCCATAAGCAAGATGTATAGCTTCAGGTTGATAATAAATGATGTTGCTTAGTGTCACAGATAGTAAAGATAAAATAACCAAACCAGTAAAAAAAGCCATACTTTTCTCTGATTTATAAACTATGGTAATATCAGTGAGTTGATAAAGTTGCTTTTTTATCTATGCTACCAAAAGCATTGACATTTTTCAAAATCTGATACAATACATTATCGAAACCATTAAAAAATCTGATGTATCACTGCATTTGATCGAATACAAAGGAACACTGTCATTATGTGTATCGAACATACGCTTTTGAGGTCATGTATCAACAACAATGAGTCAGGCAGTATCAAGGAAACTTCTATCAGTTGTATAGTTTTTCAAATAGCTACTTATCATAGTTCTAAGATATAGGTTATTAAAGCTGTAAAACATGATTTTAACTGAAATATTCTCACGGAATCCTGGTATTATTTTTGGCGAAAATAAAATTTGAAGTCGACCGCAGACAAATTATCTCAAATTATCATGACATAAACTTACGTTATAACGACATCTTGAGTGTACTGTGACGTATTACAACCTACTGCATAATGCACTTTGGTCGGAGAATTCAGGAAACTAAATTATAATAAATAACCAATGTTAATAAATATTCAATTACCGCGTTTACTAAATACAAATAATATATTAATTATATTAGTAGTTAATTACACCAAAAATTGAAATGTAATCTAAACATAAAAATGTAACAAAAATGATTAATTTTCTTTTATATTTCTTTGAATGTCGGTCAAAAATATTTCTAAATAGCCTCCACTAATATTAACTGTGTAATATAAAAGATGAAAGAAAATAGCGTCAACAGTAGATAGAGAACTATGAACTAATTGTAAGCATCTATATTGATCACGCACTCTGTCAATTCGATATCTTCTTTCTTCATAAAGAGCTTTCCTATTCTGTTGCTCGTACGCGGATGCGTTTTTATGCTTCGAGTATATATGATAAACGTGCATAAATATAATACATTTATCGAACACTATCCAAAACGCATTCTAATTTCATTTCTTACAATTGTTATGCTCCTCTGTTTTGTTCTTACATATTATTTCTTTTTATAATCGAAACCCAAAATCGTGACCACAATGGCACTTTATGCATCGAAATATATTTTACTTTCAAAATTAATATTTTCAATTTTTTATTTTTCACGTTTAATTTAAAAGTTTGATATATATACATATATGATTAGATTTTACTTCTATCTACATAATATTTTACAAATATTTTACCGCATATTTCCCCGTATTATACGATATAGACAATCAAGCCACACGTTATACTATAAATAAACAGTACACAGTAACAATGAATTTCATGTAATTTGTATATTGAAGTATATATATATATTAATATATCATATGTGACATGAAAATACAGTTGGACTTATAGTTGGAAGTATTTTATGATAGAATTAATAAAGTAAGAAGTAAAAGCGAGGGATCGGTAATGGATTAGTAAATCGAAGATGGAAAGGTTACCGCCACGAGAATGACGACGGCGCCGTGCCAGCCGCCACTGCCGCCGCTTCGCGGTGAGGGATGGAAATCAGCGGACGACAAGCGATGTCAGGGCTGCTGCCGCCGTCGGTTAACACGCACAGGTTCACACCCATCCTCGACAATACATTTTAAAGCTCTGATATCGCGGGAAATGGATAGAACAATTTTCAAAGGAAGCAGTTCCACAGTGTAGTGAATCGATACGATCAAATTGTGTCTTGGCATCGTCGGAAATATTCCTATTCGATCAGAAAAAAGTGGTGCGTTACGAGCCAGATCAGAATATCCGAATTTACTCTTAATTCATTAGATCATCCTGCAGAGTTAAGGGAACACGAAATAATTTAAAGGCCGCGATACGTAGACTTTGCGAACATTTGTTGAGAGTACAGGTTAATCGTTTCGGTGAAATCCACTTTGATCCTGCCTGCGATCGACATGTCGTAAGTGTTCTTCGCCAAGGGAGGTGCAGGACGAAGATAATGTAGACAACAAACGAGAAGAGAATGGTAGAATCGCAAAAACGACGACTTGTAACAGTGTTTCTATATGTGATGCGATTTTATCGGAAGATGTGCGTTTAATTGGAGCCTCCCGTCGACGAAAGTGAGGGGAAGTTAGCATGAAGATAGTTTGTGTCAGTTCGGTCTCGGCAAGTCGAGGCCTTTTCGCGGTTTCCGAATGTCACTCAAAAAGACCCATGTATTCGAGGATACAAAAAGCCAGAATGATCCAATCGAGTGAGGAGTTGTGTTCCGTGAAAGCTCTAATCAATAAGCTAGGACTAAAGGAATTCTGAATTTGTTGATCGTTCAAGAAGCAAGTCTTCGTTGCAAGGATGTAGGGGGGCCCATACTCGGGGCCCTGATGAGGGTTTCCTCCAGGACTCTTCGAATCAACGTACTAGCGCGAGAACAAACGTTCTAGCTTCTTCGCAGAATCCTCATATTCGTACTAATATATACATAAACAGACAAAAAATTCTTCCTGTGATTTCGCTACGTAACAAATACATAACATAAATAACAAAAAAATAACGAAAGTTATCAGGAAATGCTACTGAAAGTAACACCAACGTACTTCTCAGGAGGCTTGACCAGCAGTCATAGAATGTTACGTGTTCGTTAGCAAGTTTTTTTAAAGAGATATTCGCTGCTAGTTCTCTTGTCGTTTTAGTCGGTAATCGGTGTACGTGGATATACAGCCTTAGCTAATTGTTAGTGAAGTTCAAAGTTCCCGGGGTTACTCGACAATTCCATCGGTTCAATTTCATCGGAATCAGCCAAGCGAAAAGTGTGTCAATCCTGTTGTCGAAATCTTGACTCAAGAAAACCTAAAAAAAGAATTCAAAGGAGGAAAAAAAAAAAGGAAAAAGATGCGTTTGTGTTTAAGGAAACGTGGGTGTTGTTAGTGGAAAATATAGGTTACGATGTCGATGATAATATGAGATGCGAAGATGCAAGAGGAAACGGAAAGAATGGCACGCGGTAACGACGTTAATATCGGCGAATCGTTTTTTCGGTGATGATGGGCGGCTGCGCCTATCGTCGACTTTAATCGTGCACGTCGCGTCAAGACTCGCCTAAAGCATCGCTCTCTCCTTGTAATCGAGTAGACCAGCGTCTACCGCCGAAGCCAGCAAAAATGGTCGATCTAGGGGGATATATTATCATATTGATCAACCACAATGACAAAATCAAACTGTACGGTGAGCATTGATTGTGCCATTAACAAAGAAAAACGTTCTTGTTTATTTACCGATGTAGAGCTAAAAACTTTTTTCCCTTTCGCCTCTTTTTCTTTTTCTTTTAATTAGCACCAGCTACATACAGCTTAATGAGTTTCAGCAAAGCTGCTTGTCAAGCACGTAGGCGTGAACTGTGAAACCCTTTCTCTCTTTTGTTTCTCGTGTTTTTTTTCTCGAGGATGCTATCATGTGTAATCATTGACATACAAACGAATTGGCTTGTCCGTTCGTCCTGTATAGTGTGCAACTACTGTCTGTCTGTGTACACCCTCTTTCCACTTAGATTCCTTTTTTTGTTAAATTTACTTCTTCCTCGCTGCATGTGTATGAATATATATCCAACCATTTGTAAATCATTCGTGCTCGGATTGTGCCAAATACCTGTAATTTATTCATTCAACAATTAGATCTGTTTTAAATGTGTTGCAGGCTCTCCGGCCGATAACACGGACACGTTGGAAGTGGCCGACGAAATTTTAGAAGTTAACGGTAGCACGTTGCAAAATGCCAGCCAATCGGAAGTCATTCAGTATATATATGAGGTATTTGATGTTTATTTATATAAGACTTTTCATTGAAAATGTGAATTACGTTAGTTATCGCGAATTTATGATATTTTTCGATCACGTTAGGGGTTAGGAATCGACGAAGTAAAGATCGACTTACCGATCGAGTAATCGAATTGTTTCTTTTCCCAGTGTATCGAGTCACGAACGATATGTCTGCGAGTGCGGAGGAGAAGCGGAAATAAAATGGGTGAGTGTATTTTAGAAATACTTATTATTTATTTAAATTCGGAGTCTTTAATAAGTTAAATGTAAACAGATGTATCGAACAAACTTACCGCGTAATTTGAACAGTACAACAGTATCGTACATTACGGACAGACATTTTAGTACGTTCCGTCGATTTTCGATATTACGTTTATTGCAATGATTTCGAAAATTCCGTTAATCTCGTCACATCTTTCGAAGATGACATCTCACATGCGTCTAGGTTAGTTTCTTTCACGAGGATACACGTTTCAAATATTCATCAGGGTTACGAAGCATTCTTCTTGTTTCCACTTCGATACATCGTCGAATCGATAGTGAATTAAATATTCGCATAAAGCAAAATTAGGTATTATCATCGGTAAACGATGTACCGAATGATTTTCTAATGCAGCGATTTTTGTTTCAAAGGAGTTCTGTTTAAAATCGTAGTGCCGAAAGATTCGAATGTCCGAGCAGGTAAAATCGTCGGCCGATTTCGTATTTTCTCGTGCGATTCCGGCGTTCGCCAGGTAAATGTTCAGGTCGTGGCTGTGTGTAATGGAGACGAATAGAGGGGGAAACAGCGAAGAGAACTCGGCGAGAGGCAAACAGTATACACGAACCGAGGGAATCTAACCTTCGAATGTATCTGCTGTCACGTTCGGTCCTCGCTAGTACGGAACCGTGCATACGTGCGAGCGGTTCCGTGGCATTCCGCGCGCTCTTACCGTCTTCCTAACCTCTCGTTTTGGTTTCACGTTCTTACAGCGTAATTTCATTGGATTTTCCCTCGTGGCAGTTCCGACACCACGGTTCTTTTCGCGCAACTAGGAAACCTCGATCGTGTGAATGCGCTCAATGCTGTGTTTATTCGTTCACTGATTACTGGTGTCTCTGTGCACTCGTGCCGCTCTGTTTTTGTGTATGTGCCTCTTGTGATTCGCATTCCCGCTTGTCTTACCAGTCGAGGGAATCGAGACAAAAAGGAGCCAGATGGCAGCTGGATTCGTGCGCGAATCATCCAGGACCCTCGAGGATGTTTGAATATCGAGGCCCGAAATCGCAGTGCAACTCCTAGCGCTGGTTACCGTTAATCGTCGATCACCATTGGCGGATCTGTCGATACGGAAGGTGATTGTACCTCTTTTTGCTTCTTTTCGTGACGTTGCTTTTTAACGTCATGTTTCGCTCGTCCTCGTTCGATTGTTGCGCAATCATGTTTATTCTTCGGGCGTTATATGGGCCCTATCTCGACGACCGGAAGAAATGAGTTTTCGTTGGTTGTTGGTTAGAAGTAGTCGGCTCGTTCGGTTTCAGTAATGTGTCATCGTTACGTGACACGTTAACAGCTGCGTTTCCATTTGCGAAAACGGAGACGAAGAATTCGCCGTTGCAGTTTCTGAGTTACAGAGAGGTAATCGGTGTCGGATGTAATTAAAATCGGAAACAGTAGGAACGCGTGATTTCTCCGTGGGTCGAGACGGGTCAAAAGTTCGGAAGCTGTTGAATATTGTACTAGTATGTTCGCGAATCGAACTATCGAAACGAGTTCCGCTCCTTCCGCTGAAAAAAGGTATTCGAGATGGGTTTTTCCCCCTATTTCTCTTCATCTTTCTGTCTCTCGTTCGTGTTTCCGGATTGCAGCGGAACGACCACCGCCACCATCGGTACAAGCCTAATAATAAAGGATTTGCACGACGCGTGAAGTTTCGCGAAATCAACAATCGATTCTCTTCGATTGCGTTTCCAATAATCGTCGTCGAGTGCAGTCGCGCTGTACGTCATTGTAAAACCGTTTGCATCTACTGACCTCTGTCGTGCGATTACAAATTTATAATTGCCGAATAATCGAGTTTCGTTTAAATGCTAATCAACTAAGTCTCTTCAAAGCGAATAATCTTTGTCGTTCGAACGACTTTGCAAAGGATCGAAAAGTGCATCCATTAGCAAGCGAACAGATAGCACTTAAAAGTGCATTTGAATTAAGCATTTAATCACGAGGCTGCAATTTTTCGACGCTCGAAATCGATAATATAAACGCCACGCGATTTGTGTCGGCAAAGTTAGCGCGTGTTTCACAGTAAAAATCGCTCGCATTGATATAGCGGTAACATGCTGCTCGCTGGTTGCCATCCCGATAAAAGCGCGCGTGCGCGCGCGCCCGCCTGCTTGCTTGTATTTTCATGACGCGAATAATGCGAATGTTTTGCTGACGAGGAGCAACAATCGGCCGTGGTGCAGCATGCGTGTCAGCTTGGCGTGCATTTCAATCTCTTTTCCGAATCGTTGCTAACTCTCCACTTCTGACATTTCCACGAATTATTTCCGTTTATTTTCGTGAGACACTTTCGTACGACACTACGCATCTCTACTCGTTCGATGTATCGTGTCCTTAGAATTCATTTTTAAATCTCGAGTAAATTTCGAGTGGAGAACCGGTTTTCGTTACGTCGTTGATTGCGATACCGTGACTCGTTTCTGTAAACAAAACATTGGCACCTACGCAGGAGAGATTTACGTTTAATCGAACATAACCTTTTTTTCGGATCGACTATTCTACGCCGTACATTTCCACGCGAAGTGTTGCGCGATTCGCTCGGTAAATAGCGAAAAGGATCGAGGCAAGGAGTGGCGCTGTAGGAGAAAATTATGCCATCTTTTGACGTAATGCGGAAACTAATGGCAGTCGATGAAAATATACGTTTCGTATTACCCGTGTTATCCCTACCTAACCGAGTCAGTCTTTTCTCTTTGCCGATACATGATCGATAGGGTGATGCAAGAAGCGGGAAATAATCGGAAAACCGTTAATCGAGTCTCGTCCGACGAATTCGAGAGTATGTCATTTACCGATCGGTGTTCGGGCTCGGGCAAGTAATTCCCTAGAAAACGAGGAAGAGTTGCACGCACGGCGAGCACGGGACAATTACTGGATGGCGTTGCGAACGGTCGGGTGAGAGGAAGTAGAAAAAGGAGGCGATAGTACCGGTAGAGGAAGACGGGACACGAGCTTTCGCGGGCAGCAACGTGTATAAGATACAAGCATATGTAGGTGTGTTACATACGACCGTGACGACGAAGGGTGAGAGAGAAAAAAATAGATCGCTGGAAAATATTTATGCCTGGTGCGCATCGGCCTAGTACCATCGCTCGTTTGATTATCAGGTCGTGCCTGTAAGTGATACGAATTTTTCCCTGTATTTTTAGAACGCGTGGCGCCACCGGTTTCTTCGCCGGCTTACTGGGCAGGTTTAACGGAAATGAATTTGCTGAAAACTTCACGTAGCTCCGCGTAATCGGATAATTTACAGCGCCACGAGATGGCAGAGTCGAAAGTTTAGTTGCATTTACGAGGTTCTGCTAAATTTCCACCGTTCTTCCGTGTGCTCTACGTGTTCCAACGTGGCTTTAATTTAGGCTACGCGTTTTCCGCTGCTAATGGTTCGATCTTATCGCGACGGGAATCGAATTTGCCCCGTAGCAGAGTGGAAAGTGGCCGTTGCTAATCGAATTTACTTTCACACCGGGACGAAGAGGAACGTCGCGTTCCACGTTGCTGCCGAGGAAACGAAACGATTTCAGGAATTTCACGTAACAGTGCGAAAGAGCGGCGCGTATCGCGTGTAGAACAATATTGTACTCTAGATAGAGTCCTTAATAAAACCGACACGATTTTCACGCGATATTCTATATTCGAAGGAAGAATTTCTACTAGAACGCATTCTCGAAGAATTCTTTTCTTCTCGTAGAAAATCTCGCGCCATAGTTACGCCCTATTTCCACCGGTGGTCGAAGATAGGTCAAACGCATTCGAGTAAAGGCTGGCTTTCATCGAACGTCCACGGATATTGCACGAAGACTTCTGTAATACAGAAAATGTAACGTGGGTGTCTCGCGAATGGCTGGAAGAAGATGGTCGCACAATGAGTGACTTCTACTATCCGATTGTAAAATATACACACGCATGCGCATACACGCAGACTCGCGCAGGGACGGTGCGAACGCTTATACAGTTAGAAAACTGGTTTTCGCCTCGTATACGAATCGACTATCATCGAAGCCTCGCGCCGTTCTCGTGTACCGTACAGCATCTCGGCGTCTGCTGCATTCACGCGAGACACGTGCGTGTGTCAGCGTCGCGACGACCCTCCAGTCGCGTGCTTACGTGGCCGGGTAGCAGAAAAACGGAGGACTCGGCGGAAATGCTTGCAAATTCTAGGGTAAAAATTTTCCGAGACTTAGAAAATTCGAAATTCCCGCCTTTCGCCTTATACGCACGGCATTAATTAGAATTCCGAGGCAGTAGCGTAGCATACGAAATCGGAGGACTGTTCGTATCTTCGAAACGGTGCAACGTGATCGTCACGGCACCGTTCTGCTCGACCCGAATTCGACGAAATCGGCATCGACGCACGTTCGAGCGTGACTGTCCGTAATTTTCCGCGAGATTTACTTTAGAGAGTCTTTGTGGGAGAAAATGTTAATCGTTTCACTCGTTAAGCAGACTTTTCTCCTTATCATGCTTTCTGCGTTTTCTAGTCGGGTTCTGAAAGCAATTCGAAATAGTCGCGAACCCCGGGGCCCTTGTGGTGCGGTCTGCGGCTTTTCCCGCACAATTTCTCCGCGAATTTCGCGCTTGCAGCGTTTCCACGGAGCTTTGTCAAGCTTACGAGCGTAACACAGGCAAGGGTCGCGAGTTGTTTGACCCAGATTTAGCAAATTTTTTGATTACGCGTCTCGTTCCCTCCGCCGCATTTAAGGGGGGTAGGGTGGGTGGGTTGGGGGGGACCTCGAGTAAATCGCCAGAAAAAGGGTTAGGTTTGGCAATTTTTTTCTGAGGTAAAACCTAGTCGAAATTTTTCGTCGTTTTCTGTACACGTTCGTTAAAATTTCAAAATACATACGTATTTTTTTCATCGCATTTTATCGAAAATTTTTCCGAAAATTATTACAACCTACCAGTCGACGATGTTATAAGATTGGCGTGCAGTATAGCATTTTTTTCCCTTCGATTTAGAAGAAAAAATCGAACAAAGTTTTATTCTCGATGAAATTACGCGTCGCGTGAACCTGAACTCTGTTTAAAAACACGCGGGAAAAATAGCGATGTCTAACCCTGATAATAAAGCAGCGATTTGGGCGTACAATTTTCATCTTGCCTATCCAATAAACACGATGTAAACGATTGATATTACGAATCGAGCAGGTTCACTGGCCGAAGAACTTACGAGCGTATGCGTGCGCCTCGAATCGGCTCGATCGATCGATCATTTTTTTAATTACACTGCACGCCGGACCGAGCGTTGTGCGAAATCCGCGACGAAACGTAACGGAATGCGACCGTGATGCAAAAATTCCGAGCCATCGAGAGAGTCGTACACGCGGCTTTTGTTACCACCGACGCGATAGTAGCCAGAAAGAGCGAAGGCTATTCGAGGAAACCATAAATTTCTCGCCACGAGTCCGCGAGTCGTAGGCTGTAGCAGCTCGAAGCTGCAAGTGCGGTGATAACGACCGCGAATCTCGATCTCGATCTCGAATTTTCACGTTGCGTTCTCGAGACGTGAAAGTGTCTTTCCCGAGTGGAACAGTGAAAAGAAATCGGATTTTTCTGACGCGATACTCTCCCTGGGAAGGCCTAAGAAGCGCGCGAATGGCGTTGAAGCGAGAAGGTTTCCACGGTTTAAAATTCCCCGGTGATCGAAACGATCGTTAACCGAATTTTCCAAGAAAACGACCTCTCTCGTTCTTGAAAGTCGGCTTCGCGATGCGTTTCGGGGAAGGTACGAAGAGGAAGTGGCAAGTAGTGCACCGGTGGCCTCGTGGATGGCGCCGCATGCCCTTGAAAAATTGCCTTGCCGGGACACGGAGAGGCTGCACTTTCTCCGAATCGTCGACTGGCGTTCAAACACGTTCTGGCCTGGCGCCAAGTTCGCTGGAAAAAGGGAGGAGATAGCTGGCGGAGAGGGATTGTTGCGAATTTTCTTGGCGAATACGTCGGCCTCGAGACGAGGGTTCGTGTGCACCGAGTGGATAAATTCCCGCGTTAGCTTCGGAGCCTGTATCACCCCCGAGCACACGATTCTTAGCGTGGATCCCGCTACTCAAGTTGATTGCCTTCTGCCGAGCTCGAGATAATAGGTCGACCGATTACAATGTCGCAATGTTTCCAAGCTAACTTCGACAGTTGTCGATATCTCCGGAGATAGCGATGTTTCACCTTGACACCTCTAATCGTGGCTATTTCGGAGAGAGAAAGAGAGAGAGAGAGAGAGAGCAGAAGGGAGAAGAGGACGTGACAGTGTTGATGCACTGTTAATCGCGTGGAACAACTTGGTTCGACGAGTTAATAAGTTAGGCATCGAACACGGGCCTAACTTCCCGATTTAGCTCGATGCCCTGATCTTCCGAAGGTAGCTATCTCGTCGTGCGATTTGTAAATCGCGTATAATTTGGGCAACGTGATCGCATTATTCGCGAAAAAGGATGAAAATTCTGTCGACTCGATTCGTTTATAGGTCAGCGATTGTTCCTCCGCGACTCCAGCCTCCCCATAAGTCACAAGATCGCGTGATGAGCGAGCGGGAGTAGGTCTAGGAACGAGCTGTACGACGCGAAACGTGCACAATTTGTCGAAGCTGCAAGAGAAACGTAATTTTTCGAGACATCGAAAACGCCGGAAAATCATTGGCGAAATGACCGATGTAGCTTGCAGGTGTACCGAGTCTAATCCGTATTATCATTCACTCCGCGAGACCATCGGTTCCACGTCGTTTTGACGCTCCGAAGTGTCGAGGCGAACGGTCGAGGAAATAAAAATGGCCGGCTAGCGTTTGCACTGTCACGAATTCGCATTGGCGTACTGCGCGTCGTCGCGACGTGGTCCACACGTTGATTTTTACCGGCGATGCCAGTGCGCGGTTCCAAATATAAACCTCTTGGTCGGTACTGCTCGCGGTGCCATCCATTCTCAGCCCTGGTGAGGCGTTTATTTTCTATGGTACGGCGACACGTGCGGGCGAACGCAACGCCTTTCGTCTTCTTCTGCCTCCTCGCGCGCGACAGTTGGCTGAAATTTCGCGAGGACAGATCCTCGGCTGGTCGCAGGACTCCGGGAGTACGATCGCGTCGGGTTCTTCGTGCGAGATCTCAGCCCCGACGTGGCTGGAACGGGAGTACAGGGTCGAAAGACATGAGAAAAGCCGCCGGGAGTAGCGTGGATTGGTCTGTAGGTCGTTGAGAAGATGTCGAGGTTCTTACGCAGGGTGCTCCTGTGCGGGTGCTCGTCGCGGTCGGGAGTCGAGGGACAGACGTTCGTCGTCGACGAGTCCGTGGTCGACGATGGGCCCAAGTCGATCGAGTTCCCGGCGATCGACGAGCAGCCGGAGGACGTCGCGATGCACTTCGACCTCTCTACCATCAAGTTCATCGACGACGAGGAACCGGACGACGACGTCCCCCTTGGAAACGGTACTTGTGTTGATCGGGAAACAGGGATTCGTTGGTCACGCGTCGTAAGAGGTGTTTTCGGGAAAAACGCGAGCAGAGGGAACTAACTAGGCTAGGGAAAGTAGAAGTAACTAGAGAAGGTGGATCGTCCTCGTGACTAATCGCTTTGAAATTGTTGACAGTAGAGCTGGACGGGTTCAACGCTGGTCGGGTGCGAGAAGCTTGGGTCATCGCCGTCGAAAGGTAATTACATTCGCAGAGAGAGAGAGAGAGAGAGAGAGAGAGAGAGAGAGAGAGAGAGAGAGAGAGAGAGAGAATGAAAGGTTTGTATCGAAACGACCGAGGGAAATTCGCGATACTTCCGTGTAATTAAACCTTGTGTCGCTTGATGTTGGAACCTAAAATACCTGTACGCATCTCAGTAACGCGTCTTTCACGCTCTTTGTTCGCCGAGAGGAATGTTGGCATTACTCCTAGCCGAAGTTCAGTGGCACTTCCTGCAACGCGAACGTTTTATGAGCCGCATTAAGCTTCTAATTTTAGGCGATTCATCTCGAGTGTTTCTTAACCTTCTTCCACCCGGCAAGACACGTCCGATCGTGATAATGGAAAGTACGTTTCTGTTGCAGGCGTGCAAAGGAACGATTGCAGAGACTGGCATCGCACTGGAGGATTCAGCCGCGCGATATCCAGGCGATTCTGCACCAGCAGGTATAGTAGCATGTATCCTCGCGATGTAGAATAGCGGCACCGACGATGGTGATGATGATGACGATGTAGCGGGTAGCAGGGCTACGTGCGGCGTTCTGCGTTTTTCGATAGGGACTGAGCTTAAGGTTAGCACGAACTTCGCGCGACCCTAACCGAGGCCACGAGGTCCGTCTTGTCAGGTCAGTGATGTCAATTCGATCGTTGAAATGCTCCAACCATGAACATTCTCTGTGTATTTCTACCATCCGCTGTGTCTGTTTAAGTTCTCTTAATATTAAGAAGATCACGAAGATGCCGCATCTACGATGCTCACGATTAGAAATCGCCGAGGATCGCGCTACTGTGCACCTTTACGCAACTTATCGAGGAATAATCGACTGGATTGCGAAGATACCTCAGTTGGAACTTTGGTCGTCAACCGGTCATTCCAGGTTCAAGAATCGTTCGACGAAATTCTCCAAATTCCTGCATCTGGCAATCCTATTCGTCACCCTGTGGCCAGTGGACATTTGCGGTCACTTTCGCCGAAACCTGTCGATTACCTACCTATCATGGGCGTCTCTGGCGTTTCCTTTCGTTTCCAGATACTTCCGTGGGTGGTGTCCACGCGGGATTAGTGGCGGAGAATATCGGAGAATATATCAATCCCGACATATCAAGGAAACTTTGGAAGATATGAAACATGGAATCGTACCGAATGAAAAGACCAGTGCAAAGGATCCAAAAACCAGCAAAGGGAATAACGATAGAAAAGAACGGGACAAACAAGATGCCCTCGGAAAGGACGGAAATTTTTAGAATATCCTAGAATTGTAGAAATAAGAACTCTAGATGGGTTGTGGAGCAGAATCGCGGAACCGCCGACGTGAAAATGCGACAGAATGTACGGGAACTGCGAGCCAATCGGTAGCAAGAAAATATATTGCAGAGGTCTTGCCGTAGCAGCTAGCAATTACACAGGAATTTTTTTTTACAGTTGGGACGTTTCGATAGTTTCGCGGAAAGAAGATTGCGCATGCCTTTCACCGCGCCGAAAGATAGCTCGTTTTTACGTAATATCGCGGTAGAAATGCGCTATTACGCATATGGCCATCTCTCTGCCTGTCTCTCTCGATGCAAGGCTGAAATCGAAAGAAATAGGCCGAAAGATAATAGGGCTGCCTTCGAGAAGCGATCATGTGGATAAATGGTTAATCGATGGTGGCTCGATTAAAGCTGATTCCCGTGTCGGTGCACGGTGAGCAGCGCCGAGATAAAGTGGCCGGTCGTTGTGTTGTCTCCATTGTATTCAAACAATTAGTTCCTATTCCGTTGGCATGTACGCCTGGCGTCTATCGAACGTTCTAATCGGGGACATATTCGCGAATGAACGACGTTCGGAACGACTCCACTTGTCCAACGTAAACGACGCGCGAACGAATCGGTCGGCTGACAGGGAAATCGTCACGGGGCTTGCTTATGATATGTGGAATGCAAAGTAAATGAGCGGAGTGAGTGGTGGCCACGATCATGCGCGGCCTTGGATGAGTGCAGCTCGCGTTGTACGCTGCTGTTCCCGTGTATTCCACAGGTTGCGGCCCGAAAACCGTTGCTAGAGTTTTCCTTACTTTCCCTGGTTCCCGTTGGCGCGGTCGCGGTGCCGGGTGTCAAGGAAAGGGCGACGAGAGATAGAAAGAACAGAGAGAGAAAAAAAAAGAGTTCATCGATCGGGAAGTGTCGTCGGGAATCCCTTTGTTTCCGCGAGAAACAGCGGTCGTCCGTCAGAGGCAAGTCAGAGCTGATTGTTTGCTGTTTGCTGTGTGTGCAGATCAACGAGGCGGTCGCGTCCACTAGCGGAGACAGCGCGGGTAAAAATGTGACGAGCAACCAAATTACCGTGACGCTTGCCGACAAGTAAGTGGCATTTCATCCTTGCCATTTCTCCTGCCCCCTCGCGTTAATAGTTTCTGCTCTTTGTTCCACGTTTCCATCGCGCTCGTTTCCCCTCTTTTATTTCCCTCCTTATACGGATTGATCGCGATTCGAAACATCGTTGCGTGTACAATGGCAACTTTTTGCCACGGACAACGGCGCTTTTATTCGGGACGAAAGCTTAACGGTTTCGATTCGATTCGTCTCGGTATCGACGAGGTCGAGCATCACGGTAGAGCGCGAAACGCGAAAACTCGCGGCGCGCCGCAATGGGAAGTACAATTACAGGCCGGATGCGAGAAATTGCGATTGGCGTGATTGATATCCCATTGCGACGCAACCGCGCATACCGTCGTTGCTTTCGTTTTGGCGTTGGTGTGTCGACCAAGGTGGCCTGATCTACGATTCTTTTTCAGGGAACCGAGTACGAATGCCTTCACCACCAAGCTCAGCAACGGTACCATACCTAAGGGTAAGACACGAAGGACATCCGGGAGGCAAAGGACGCGTCTGAGAAGCAGCTCACTTGTCCCGAGGAAAGCAAACTTTTAGTGAGTACAGCCACGCCTGTCTCTCGCGATTTTCGTGCACGTTAGAAATGATAGAAGAATGGCAAAACGAGATATGCACGTTCGCGATCAGGAAGGCGAGGCTATCGCGTACGACGAGGAATAAGCATGTGGCATCGATATTCTTCAATCCTTGAAAGTATTACGACTCGTTGTCCGCTTCTATCTTTGTATCTCGCTGGTAAAAAATGGTTTCTCCTTCGCGACGATTATGTAAACGCGTCCATGCGATTGGTCGAGTGCGAGGTAAACATTTCCCGGAATTGCTATTCGCTGTTCGTCATTCATTCCTGCATAATTAATCGGCGTTGCGAGGACTCCGTGAAAATGAGCAGGAGCATCGTTGCTTGCGATTACTCGCTTCTTTGGTACGGAACGGGAGCTTTTCTCCTCGATTCTTGAAATTTTCGAGCCATTTCCTACGGTACACGCGCGCGGAATGCTATTGGAGCGAGTGTGTAGTTCGCAACGGTGAAACGGTGATTCATTTTTCAGACACCGGTGCAAGGCGGAAGAGTCGGGGAACGACGTGCCAGCAGTCCTTTCCAAAATGGTCAAACAGAAGTGCTGATCGGAGAGCTGGAGGGCGGCCCAAGGTCGCCACGAGGATCCACGTCTTCGGCGGTGAACGACGGCAATTTCCTGAACCCACCGGATGAGCGCGACGATCAGAAGCCCATTTGCAGGTGAGTAGGAAAATCGAGTATCGATCGGTGCATGGGTTTGCTTCTTCCCCAACGAGACCCCGAACTTGGCTGATCGAGAGATCTGCCTCTGCGTCTGTCGCGTTAGCTCAGGTTAGGTTGGTCTAGCACCGTTGTCGGTCTATCAGCATCGCTCACACGGTGTTACACGATTCGGTTCGGTTCGGTGTTCGTCGGTGCCCTTTAATTTTATAGGTCACCGTGGTTTCCACGATCACCGTGGCGAACGTTCCGCGCGAAAAGGAAATCAGCGGCGAGTCGTAGGCGTACACCTCTCTGCGAGTTGCATCGCGTGCAGCTGCACCTACGCAACTGTTACCTTGCCGGTTACGAAGGGAACTCCGCAGGTGACTGTTAGATGTCGCGGTGAACGTGCTGGCGAGCAACGGAGCACCAGGAATCTCCGTTATCGGGAGAAACGAGCTGCGCAGAGGCGTAGACTAGGTAGAGCCGTGATCCGGTCGTTCTAATGGAATCTCGCGGCCGCGTCACGAGCAGGGAGATGAATCGACGCGGAGGAACGCCGCGAGTGAATTTTCTGGCCCCCAGTGGCGCAGTCAGAAGCTCCGCAATTATAATGCAATAAGGATAATAATGCTAACGGAATAACGTAATGCAATATCAGCGTCCATTTCGCAAGCGCGGAGTGCGCGTTTATTAAGCTGCGAGAGATCAAAAGAGAAGCGAGGTAGTCGGATGAGTAATCGCTTTCATCCGACAATTTTATTCCCGTCGTTTGCCGAACAGCTGCTTCCACGAATTTATAATCCATTTTCTCGTTTGATATCGGAGAGCGAGATATCGGAAGCTGAGAAGCTTCTCTAGCCTAGGAAGTCTCGAGACAGTCTGCTGTGGGTCTCACGGTTGCGATTGCTTTTTCCGAAACGAGGTGCGAACTTTTTGATCAAACGCGTGTCCCATGGGTCTCGGTGGTCCATGGAGCGCGAAAGTAATGAATTTGTAGAAAGCTGGGCCAATGAAGCCGAGTAGAGGCCAGCACTCTACGGATCGAATAGACCAGGTCCAATGTAATCTTCGACGTGGCTGGAGCGCCGGCAAAGTGACTCCCATCTCTCTCTTTCTCTCTCTCCCCATAGTCACTTCGCCGGTATTTCACGCTCGTGACACACCCACCGATACGTTGGTATAAGTGCAGCCTAAACAATGCGTTTTCCAGTCCTCGCGATGCAGCGCCTCGCTCTATCCCAGCGTTTCCCAACCTGTCCACGTTGCACCATGCAGTCTTTCAGCAATTTTAATGCTACGCATACGCTTTCCTAGGTTCTTCGTTTTCCAACTCCTCGAGAGTACCAGTCTCTACCGAATGTCTTCCATTCGAATATCTTTCACGAGAAACAGGCCAGAGACGTGCCTCGATTCGCGTCTCGAGGTGCAAATGGCGAAGTGGTAGATGCACAACGTCGTCCGGTATTATGTAACAGTATTTTGTCAAAGTTGGCGTATCGGAAGACGATATTTCGCGAGATTGCGTCGCCCAGGAAAGATTGGGAAACGCTGCCGCGTTGGCTTCGGATTCCTCTGGTCTTCGTTCCTTTTCTCGCTCTTTCTTTCATCGTCTCCTCTCCAGCCTTCTTTTTCCTTCGGTTGTCTTCTTGCGGCCGAACGGTAGAAACGAATGGCGGCACCAGAGTCGCGTCCGACTCTCGTCCCAGTACTGGCGTACACCGCGGGGTTTCCCTCGAACTCTTAATCGAATGGAACCTATATACGTCTATCAGGCAGAACTGCGGGAATTAGCGCTCGGGAAAAAGTATCGAAGGATCCCAGACGGCCAGATCGTATGGAAATTACCTTCTGGTGGAAGACGAAGAGATTCGCGTAAGAAAATTACCTTCGAGTTATTCATAGACGTCGCTGTGGAAGAGTACAGGTGCGAATGAATGCGCCCATTGACATCACGGGCCACTTTTACACGAGAACACAGCGTGAATGGCTCGAAACGAGTGGTTTCGCCTCTCTGGCTGAACGTGCCGACACGAGCCACCGGTTTTAAGGTCGTCCCCGAGAACTGGGCTGCTGGATCACGCGTTTCTCCCTTTTCGGCGTATGCATATGCTCGATTTTCGATACGAATCGCGATCTAGCCGACTCCGTTCCACTTCTTTTCCGCCCGCTGACTGATGGCTTGCTCGTTTTCTCGGTTAAAACCCTTTGAAAGCCCTACAGATTGCGGCCCTCGTTTCCGCGCCGCGAATTTCCTGTTTCGAAAGCTCTCATTTATCAGCCGGACGGATGTTGACGCCTCGCTGGCCGAATACGAACCATGTAACTACCGTCCTTCCTTTTGCCATGCCTGCTGACAATAGCGAGTCCACCGATCGGCCGATCACTCGCGCCGCCATCTTTTCGCGCTCCGACTCGAATCCTTCGCGAACGAGTGAACTTTTGCACGAGGAATTTCCCTCGGTATTTCATCTCTGATCGTCGAATCTCCGTTACCCCTTTTCATCGTGGAATCTCGTACTCGGGATTGGTAGAACCGTGCCTTCGGGAGCTAGGAAGATGCGAGCGATCGGAGAAACTCAACGTGCCGATTCGATTTGCGGGAATTTAATTCCGATCGCGATGCGAGAAACACGTGGACGCGGCTTTCGTTCCTCGAGCAATCTTGTCCCCGTCTGCGCGGCGGAAAAGAAAGACTTTCTCAACGATAAGCACCCCGTGACCGAGTCTTCGGTTCGTGGTCTGGTGTCCGTTAACCGAGCCACGGATATCGATTTGCGCTCACGAAATCGATATCGACGTCCACGTTCACGCTCGGCACTCGTCCCTACTCGTATAACATTTTTTCACGTCGCACTCCGCAGCGGATTTGCATTTGACGGCGCAGCGCGACGAGGCTCCATCGCGTCGCCATAAGCGGACCGCTGTCATTTTTCTTCCTCCTTTTCTTTCTCGCGTGTCACACGTTACCTGCCTTTCTCACCCGTTTCCTTCCTTCGTCGTTTGCCAATCCGTCCACTCGGTCGAGAAATGTCTAGGACCAATTTTAACCGTTTGATTTCCCAAGATCTGAGACTTTCGACACGATCTACTTATTTTGCCTGGTGAGCCTGTTTCTCGCAACCTTTTTCGAACTCGTTTCATCTTTGCGAAACGTGGAAGTTATCGATGGGAAGTACTAGGTCCACGAATCCATGGCGTCGCCCTTCTCTACGAGTATAAAACTCCAGGTACACGTTGTACGCGTTGTACACGCGCATAATGAAGGTTGAGAATGACGAATAGTCGTTGTCTATTCACGCGGATATTTTTCCTCGTGGATAAAAGGCTCTACAAGTACGCTGGAAGGACAGGTCAGCGAGGAGTTTGTCGGAAATGACGGTCCCGTTTGAAATTCAGCCGGAAGGTTGCAACTTAGGGTTAGGAATTAGTCATTCGGCAAATTAGTCATGGCTTTCGTTAACGAGGGAAAGGCAAACAAGTGTAGCGAGCCGAAAATCGAACGCCGTTGCTAGAAGGGTCTAGTGGCGAGGCTAGGTCCGGTTCTCGTGGCCGCTAGCGTTTCGTGGAGGCTCTCCGTGACACAGCCATGGATGGAATACCGATTGCTCACTCTCCCATGGCGTTTCCTGTTCCGACCACGTATCCCGCTTTCAAAATAAAAGCCGCGCAGAAACGGGCAAGGAGAGACGCACGAAAGGGGAGAAAGAAAAAATGGTGGCGAAGGAACGGGAGAAAGGAGGAAGAAGGGGCTGGAATGGCGGAGGCGGGTAATGAGGATGACGGCATTGGCATCGTCGAATCGACGCTGCAAGCCTGCCTCTCCTATTGTTCCCACTCGTATTATGCGCGTCATTCGACGCCTTTTATCCTCTCTCTTCGTCGTCGCGCGAAGATCCGCGTTCGCTCGCGAAATTCCGATCTAGGATATTCCTTTTTAATCATCCCTGGCCCGCGTGGGATTACACACTCGACCCCTCTCCGCGAGCTCCATTAATTCCTTGCACCCGGTGACCTTTATGTCCGTGACATGCACTTGTGCCTGTCGATAAAGTCCGCTCGAAACGGCGAAAACGCGCTCCTCGCGATCGCATCTGGATATCGTCCGCTCGATTAGGAGTCTCCTTTGTAACACAGGCTGGACCGTGATCGGTGTTGCGTTACGGAGGAATTTGACGGACAGAGCCTGATCGTGTCGCGAACGTGCATCGATGATCGCGATAGAGCGACACGGGGACACGAGTACGAGTACGCGTCTGTTATCGGCGTCTATATAACTCGCATGTGTGCCTTTTACGCCATGCATCCGAGGATGTCTCGAGGCCGGGCTTTCCCGCCTCGATTTTCCCTGTTCTCGCCGAGAATGCAATCGTTGCATCCGATAGACGACGACTGGCGCCATACGCTCGTTCCAGCAAGACGGCCATGTTCTTTTCCTGCAATTTCCACCGAATTATCTGCTCGAGTGATAAAGATAACGCGGTTTCTTATCGCGTACTTGCGCGTGTACACCTCGTATTCACCTCGGAATGCCTGAGCGAGTTCGAGGATCCCTCGCCATTGACACCGTTGCGACGAGAACGTCCGTGAAAATATAAATCGTATCGATCTGGAACGATCGTGATTCGCGTCGCGTTCCATCGATCGACTCGCTGGATCTTGCACCGATCCGCGAAACTCTCGCGGCTGGCAGCGTCGTAAAGACATAGAGTTTCTCTCGGTATTTCGATGCGCAGTGCACGCCGATACGCAGCGAGTACCAGCGCTCCTCGAGGGTGTGCACGTCGAGTGCTCGTTCACTGCACTCTCTCACGGGCTGCAGGAAAGTGGTTTGAACCGTTAAAGCGGCGTTTTCGTTCCGGTGCCTCTTCAGCCGGCAACTTGGGAACTCGGAATCGAGTGCTTTCGCGTGTCTCTTCGAAGTTTAATTACCAGCTCTGCGGGATTTATTCCTCGATCCTCCTGTCGAAAGCATAATCCTGTCCATCGCGCTCCGTCCTCGACGCGGCCGTAAATAG